AAGGGGAAGAAGCAGGAGGGGAAGAGAAAGTGAGCCACACTTCCCCGGGTCTGTAGGTAAAAGGTCAGGGTTTTTCTTTGCACGCTACGAAAAAAAGAGACAGAAAAAAACCCTCCTGACTGTGTTGTGAAAGTGTCCACACACCTTGTAGATTGCTTCAGTAAATGCAGGCGGGTGTTTGCTTTGGTGTTTTGTAACTGTTTGCGATGTTAATTATTGAAAAAGCAGCCCCTGCTGACAGCTAGTGCCATCAGTCCCACACGGCCTGTCTTGTTTCCCAGGAGCAAGGCTGAGCAGAGGAGCGGAAAACTGGCTGCCCTCTACCAGGGAAGATGACCAGGCCAGAGGACAGAGGAAACCTGCCGTATCCCAGCAGAATGATACTGACCAACACGCCAGCGTAGCAGCTGCTGACCTAAAGAACAGCATGAACTAACAAGCTGCTCAGCTCCATACTATGTGACACATAAAGAAAACACACGACGTCTCCTCTGAAAAGACGCTTATTGGTTAGATACGTCTGTAGATGAAAAGGGAGTATAAACCGTCACTAAAATAATAATCAGACAGGACTTGGGGTACTTATTTCACAGACAACACTGCAGCTACAACCCAGGTCGTCTGGTAAACCAACAATTTCCTGAGAAATATTTGAACAGTGGGAATAAAAGTGAAAGTTGCAATGACACATTAGTCATAAATCACTCTTTATCTTCTTGTGAAATACCCTACCTCCAGGAAACATGGTAATAAAACCCAATAGGGGCTATAAACACCTCCTAGAGTTTCTCTGTTGCCTTTGGGTTCAATGCTGCCGAACCCTCCACAGCCAAGAGTCACGTCTCACGGGAGCCTCTGGCTGGGGTTAATGAGTGTGTCAAGGAGCTGTTACACAGGGATCACTGAAAATGCAATAAATCACCTCTGGCAGCAGCACTGTGAGGAAAATAACATTGAATGGCGTATTCTCTTGTGGAAAATGAAGTGTTTCAGTATCACTGTACAGGAAGGGGCTCCATCCCACAGTATATCCCAGTCCTGCAGGTATGATAGATCTGGTTTTATAACTGTAAGGGCTTGGAACACTTTGATGATCAAAGCCGGTCATTTCTGGAATAAGGTGATTTAACAATCTGAATAGCATTTAGCTCTTACGGACAAGAGCTTCCTGAGCTGAACAAATAATGTTGGAGGTATTTGTAGTCTTTAGCTGCAGGTGATCTATCATGTTCTTTATATTTAATTACTTTGTTAGGGCTCTCCAAGACCAGGGTTAGAGACTCCTGTTGTACAGTATTCCAGTAGCACAGAGAGGCAGACTAAGAGAGTAAAACTGCAGCTGCTGAGAAACCTGAAGGCATTCAGAGACAACAGCAAAGTTAGAATGTATCTTTCAACTTAATGGTCGTTTAGTTGGTTCAATTGTTGCCTGATGGGACTATATCAGAAAGTCATATCATTTCTATATCATATCATATCATTTCTGTAAATTATATCATTTCTTTAAATAGTTTTTTTTTGCATACAAATTAAAAATTACTTTGATTGGGGTGACTCGTTTTTCTAAATACGTGTAAGATTCCCTGGGCAGTTTATCCAGGAAAATGGATATTTTAAAACTGGCACGTTCAGAGTTCATCCACTTGGTGGCGCTGTTGAGTCATCTGTCACCCCGGGATGGCCTGAATTGGTTATGAAGCCGTCAGCAGCTTCAGGTCTCCTGCTGAATGCATCTAACAAATGAAGACAAGGGGAACAGGTGCTGTCCCGCCGAGCGGTTAGTCAACAGAGAAGCAAATAACGCTGGTAGTGGTGTCTTCCACTCTGCTGTAAAGGTGATTACATTGTAAAACAGTTCTTAGGATATTATTTGGGGGGGTCTGGAAAGTAAACACGACATAGATCACGGGACGTTAAAATCCATGCTGTGCAATACACTACAAATGAAAATTAAAAGAAAGGAACCAATACAATATGTGTTTAGTTCTGTTTGTAGCCAAAAAAAAAGTGATTACACGAAGGGGTTTTGTTTTCTATACATATTCAGGACTACACTGGTAAATACTCCTTAATCATTCTCCCCGGTCCGGCTGTGTTAAGCATGATATATGTGCCTTCATTTAGCCAAGCAGCTTCGATACACGTGACCACCTTGCTCTAGAATTGAGCTGGAAAACAGTTCTGAGGTAAAAGGAGAGGGACCCCGTTTCTGCGCGGTGCAAGCAGGGCCTGCAGAGGAGCAATGCGCGCAGTTTTAATCACGGCATTGTTTTAGCCCATCTGCATGACAAAACAGGAGTCTGCTGCCAGCTGGTACCGATCCAGGGCACCGCGCTGGCTCCCAGGATACCCACTGTGGTAAACATGCAAACACTGTACTTACACTCCTCCTGGCACTCCTATCACTTTTCATTTACAGTGCGATTTAAAGCACTGGTCTACGGCCGTGATTCTAATGGATTCTGCCAGGATGAGATGAGGGAATTGGATCAACCGCGGAGTGCAACTTAACCCTGTCATTGCTGATTTCACTACGAGTCACACAGGGCCGAGGTGCGATGTGACGCGTTCTCGTGGAGAAGCGCACGTGGGCTGAGTGGGTACTGCCGCATCTCAGGTGTGTCGCCACGTGACTGAATAGTTATTAATCCTCTCGGGTGCACGGAAGTGACGTTGCATTGCTTGTAGTTGGTCGGAGAATGTCATATGTCATTTTGCACATATTGCATTTAGTTTAATGTATTTAAACTCAGGATTAGCGCAGCCTATGGTTCTTATCTGGCGTTGGTTTATGTCTTAGAAAGCAGAAACAAATATTTTTAAAACTAAGGACATCAGTAAAAATATACAGTCAGTGAGTTAACACAGTGAACACTGAACCAACTTAGACTTACAGACATAGACACACACACACCAAGGCCAGTTTTCCCACAAGTCAATGAACCCACCAGTAGGTGTTTGGACTGTGGAAGGAAAATAGAGCACCTGGACAAAACCCATACTGGCACAGGGAGAACATACAAACCCCCTGCAGATTGCACCCCAGGCTCAGAACTGAACCCTGGGTCCAGCCCTGTCAGATACGAATGTTAACTACCGCACCACTGTTAAGGTCCGAATAGTGACAAGGGAGTTCAAAATGGACTTGGAATCACTGACTGGCGCAGATACGAGCAGAAGCGGCTATCACACGTTGGTTCAACAGAGCCCTTAACTCCTTCACGAAGGCTACAGCACGGTTATTCAAAGCAGTGAATATGGGAGAGAGCAGCGACGCCGAGAACAGTGCAGTATTTCCAGTGCTCCTGCTGTCACGGTGCACCTGAAGGCGCCAAGGAAGCACGACAACACTTCAATCGGCGTGTGCGTTTTCCTTCGGGTGTTCCAGGAAAGCCAGTGGAAAAATACAGTGCAATTTTGGTGAAGGAACGGGCTGTTCTGTAATTACATGTTTGCTTTAATCAATCCCGACCTCGGTCCGGCGATGGACTGAGAAGAAAAAAAAAGGAAGACGCCATGGAAATGAAGGGTTGGGCATATTAAAAGAAAATCGATATACAGTAAGTGAGTATATCGAAGTGAGTACACTGCCAGGGGGGAAGTCACCCACACTGACTGGAGAACGGACACTGTACAGATCGCAGGGGTGATTCAGAGGAAAGGAATCGGGGTGTGAGTGTCACTTCTTCTGTTTCTTCATGGAGGCCATGTGGGAAACAAACACAAGTAGAACACGAGGGCACAGCGCAAGCGTGCCTGTGGAAAACCTACACCGGGGGACGTTGTGCTTGACCTTTCCTGCGCAGTAGGCAGACCAGATACTCTGGCTTTCGGAGAAGTTCAAAGACAGCCTACAGAGGGGCCTCTGCTCTCGAGGGATTGTCATATACGGACAGGTTTATGGGGATAAATCTCTTTAGCAGTGAGCAAAGGAGATAGGAGATTTGATCTACGTGTCTAAAATTGCGCTGGAATTTCAGAGCCTAGACAGGCACAGCTGCGTGACTGTTCATCCCGAAAATGCCCCTATCCCTATGAAAGCCACCGTTTTCCTTCCCTGGGGAAGACTATCAATAATAAGGGGTGGAGCAGTCGCACTGTGGCTCAGGATCTGTGTCTGCGCCTGTGGCTGGAAGGTTGCCAGTTCAAATCCCATGACTGGCAGAGGAATCCTACTCCATTGTGCCCCTGAGCAAGGCCCTTAACCCCAGCTGCTCCAGGGGTGCTGTATAAATGGCTGACCCTGTGCTCTGACCCCAAGCTTCTCTCCCTGTCTGTGTGTTGCATGGAGAGCAAGCTGGGGTATGTGAAAAGACTAATTCCTAATACAAGAAATTGTATATGGCTAACAAAGTGATCTTATCTCATAACACATCATACAAATGCAATACATAACTCAGGCACGAAAGCCCCCAGCGTCGCAGAATGTTAAATGTAGCGATTCTTAGAAGAAGACCCAATAAAAGTAACAGTTTTATTGCAGTTACTGTATTACAGCTGCAGACGCTGTATTACAGCGAGCACTGGTGAAGCTTGCTGTCCGGTTGGCTAAGGTCACTTGTTATACGGAAGGGAGTTTCTAAGGCAGCCAGCATGTTCAGCTAAAAAGTAAGATAATTTTTAGAAAAATGTAAATTTTGATTAAAATAATTATTTTGACAATAAAGGAAAAACATATACACGGCGTTTTGTTGACATATATAATGTGCGTAGATTGGAAAAAATACACTTCAAGGATCCCTATATTATAGACTGACAATACTGGGCGGGGAGTAGAAGGATGTTCTATTCGTTAGGGGGAGGACGTGAATGTTAGGTAATTGCAGACAAAATAAAATATAACAGGATGGCCTATTTTTTATTGCCGTGGATTATAACAGTTACTAATAAATCGTTTTCTCTGGTCTTCATGCCCTTCGCTTTCCGTTTTCCGTTTTGCAGAGCACAAACATGGTCCGATCCCACCCCTGCCGTGGCTTCAGGGTAGTATGCTCGGCCAGGATATACGGGGAGCACGTGTGCGGCAAGATGGAGGGTGATAGTGTGCAGTTTAGCAGTTCTAGTGTAACAAGTAGTGTTATAATTCCACTCTCCGTTTTTGCCATGGGTGAGACAATGGGAGATCCCGTTAAAAGGTTTATTTGTTCATTTCCTGACTGTAGCGCCTCCTTTAATAAAGCCTGGAAGCTGGAGGTGCACCAGTATAAGCACACTGGGGAGGTAAGTCGGTCCACTGTCGTGTTTCATTCCGTATTACGGTTCCGTCTTCAGGTCAGGCTTTCATTTTTTTTAGCCAAAATGAGATGGACGCGTTTCTGATGCATTTCAGAGTTTTTATAGCCGCGGATATTCACTCCACTTGGCTTTGATACGCCTGCTGTTTCTTTCTGCACTCCGCGCAGCTGGGCTCTTACGCGGCGTGTGATCAGTCTGTCTCTGTCAGACGGCTCTCAAATCTCCTCTCTACAGAGGCCGTTCGTGTGCGATTATGAGGGCTGTGGTAAGACGTTCACCCGCAGTTTTCACCTGACCAGGCACCAGATAACCCACAGCGGGGAGAAGCCTTTCCGGTGAGTCGGGTGGGCGGAGCCGCTCCGCGAACTCATCACACGAGATAGCGGTGAAATTGTCATTTTTGTGGACGAAGCAAATCCTAATGGATGTTATGGCATTCCTCATCTTCTCCAGTGAATGCTGGTGTTCTGACTTATTGTGGCTGTGTAGCACTTAACGTGGAACTGTTGAAATCGAGAGAAGGGACACTGGCCTTACCGGTACTGCCCCTCTCATCTCTCGCAGGTGTCCAGTTGAGGGCTGTGATGAAGTCTTCCCCATAAACTGTAGCTTGAAGAGGCACGTGGCTCGCATACACGAACACCAGGGCAAGCCATATATTGTGAGTGATGCTGTATACTGTGCTTTGAGTTGTCAATAACCTCTTTTTTTTTTGTCTTTTGTATTTGCATTGTCAGCTCTCCAGTGAGGTACCTGTGGCATTTTTTTGTAAATGTTTGGATGGTATTTACATATGAACTAGTTCTGAGTTGGATTCTCATGTTTCGTGTCTGACAAATGAACTGAACTTGGTTAGAGTTAGTTATGCTTCTGAAGCCTACACACAGACCCTCCCTTTATTGTATTGTAGTCATTGATGTACACCCAGTCTGACACCTGAACTGGTCTTTTTTGCAGTGCAAGTACGAGGGTTGTGGGAAATCATTCAAGAAAAACAACCAGCTGAAGTCCCACGAGTATGAACACACCAATATTTTGCCTTTTAAGTAAGTATAAGACCAAAAGGGAGTTAACAAATGGATACAGACTGTATTAAAAAAGATCAAACTGGACTCTGGTGTTAGAGCCTTTCCCCAGAGATGAGCAGATCATTTCAACAGGCTGTAGTCCTGCTGCATCACTGATTTTAAGTTGGATTTCCACACCTAGGATACACAATGTAGTAGCTGACAAAAGCCTTGCATATATGTGAAAATACTTACTGTGATCAACTTCTTGAAAAGCCATCCACAGTTCTGCTATATCATAACTAGCAGTTTTTCCAGTCTGGCACAACTGATGTTTTTTTTTTTTTGAACCCCTGGAGTGATTTGGGCTCAGGTCCTGGAGGGCCTAGTGTCTTCTAGTTCTCCCACTCAAGCTGTTACGTAGTTCTAATGATCTGGCTCTAAAACTCAGGTTACAAGGCTACTCGCAGGGAGCTGCAAAGCTATTGAATATTTGCAGTGAAGCATGGCATGAGGTATTTAAGAGAACTGGCTGCTTCACCTTGGAAGAGCAAGTGGAAGCCCCTTTACCCCCCTGCTGTACAGTGCAGAAACATGTCCAATTCAGATTGACTACCCAGTCAATGCGCTTCAGTGCAAGAATCTCGCCGTTCTGCTGTTCCACTGACAGCTTGGTTTTAGACCCTGGTATGGGAAGTCCAGTCTGAGCTGGCCCAGTTTCTCCACCATGATGGACCGAGTTCCCCTGCTTGGAAGTGAAGCACTGTGTGTGACGAGGACGTTGCAGCTGGGTGACCTGTGCTCTTCCTGTATGTAGGTGTAGCTTCGAGGGCTGCGACAAACGCTTTCTCATCCCCAGCAAGCTGAAGCGACACGAGAAAGTCCATCGAGGTGAGCTCGGCTCCGACCGGGGTGTCGGATGGTAATTGGCAGGGGTCAGCCAGGGCAGTACTGGTGCTCCTGGGTACTAATTCTTACTGAATGATCTTTTTTTTTTCTTTGGAGCAGGTTACCCTTGCAAAGAAGACGACTGCTCATTTGTGGGCAAGAACTGGACGGAGTACTTGAAGCACAAGAACGCCTTGCATCAAGGTAAAAGTGGAAGGTGAAACCTTAGATTGGACCGAATAGCCTGGCCCATAACCTGTTGTATAATAATTATAAGGAGCAGTTCAGGTGGGGAGCTGCGTCAGCATGCATAGGCTGCAAAGGAACAAGAAGTAGGTTTATTCCCTGCTGAAAAGAGAAGAAAGGGAAAACGTTTCAGCTCACACCTGGAGAAGGCTCCATGGCCGAAATGTTGTTTTGTTTCTTCTCTTTTCATTATGAAATAAACCTATTACTTGTTCCATAATTATAAAAAGCTTACAGTTACAAAGTGCTTTTCTGGACACTCTGCTCAAACCTCTTTACAGACAATGGGGAGTCCCCTTCACCACCTCGGTTTCATGTCTCCTCCATGCCTTTTTACAGTACAGTGTCTCTGTCACTGTACTGGGGTATTAGGGCCCACCTAGCCTGCAGGGTGAGCACCCCCTAATGGTTCACTAAGCCTCTTTTAGCAGCAACCTTAGCTTTCCCAGGAGGTCTCCCATCCAGGTACAGACCAGGCTCACACCTGCTAGGCTTCTGTGAGTTGCAGGCTGATCATACAACTGTAGCCAGCAGCTGACCACCGTACAATATGCTTGTTGCTTGACTGTGACAAAAAGTCCACGGTCTGCACCAAGCATAGAGGTGTCTAAGCCTCGTCCCAGGCAGTTGCTGCACCTGGCTCCACCTCCCAGAACCCCCAGGCCGGGGCTGGCAGGGCGCAGGTGGCGGGAGCCGGTTGACTGCCTCTGCTGGTCTCTCAGAGTTGCTGCAGTGTGACCAGTGCAGCCGGACCTTCAAGAGAAACAGACTCCTGCAGGAGCACCAGAGGATCCACCAGGAGGGCCGGCCCATCCTGCACTGCCCCCGGGAGGGCTGCCAGCGCACCTACACGACCCCCTTCAACCTGCAGAGCCACATCCTGTCCTTCCACGAGGAGCAGCGGCCCTTCGCCTGCCCTCACCCGGGCTGTGGCAAGGCCTTCGCCATGCGGGTAAGGCCAGCACCAGCTCCCTGCCCGCCAGCCCGTCTGATCCTCTGCCCTCCCCCCCCACCCGGCAATCTGTTTCCCTTGTGGTTCAAACACAAAAGGTCAGTCGCTGCAGTTACTGGATCTCTACACCCTGGGTCAGCCCAGTTTCAATCGCCTGTCTTGTGTGACTTCCAAATACCGATTGCACAGGTTGTTGTAATGATCATAATCACTCGAGTGTGCTTTTTTTTTTTTCTTCTCCCTCCTCCCCCAGCAAAGTCTGCAGCGACATGGTGTTGTGCACGATCCGGAAAAGAAGAAGCTAAAGGTATTTTCTTTTTTTTTTTTACAAAACCTTCCGATTTCCAGAAACCTGTATGTTTACCTGTCTGTACATCTTTTACGTCAGCAGGAAATTTGAATAAATGCTGCTGATAAAATCTTGTATTGACTGAGAAGGAAACATGGACACCAAAGAGACTCCAGGTTGACGTTGGTACGCTTTTGCATTTCCACAATCCTTAATGCCGCTGTGTATCTTCTTCTGTCACAAGATCCCGCGGCCGAAGCGAAGCATGGCCTCAAGACTCAGCGGGTTCCAGCCTTGCAAGGATGAGAAGAAGCTCGCCCAGCTCCTCCAAGCTACCTCCCTGGAGTCGGAGGAGCAGAGTACTTAACGGCCCCTCCTGTCGGAGACATCTTGCCATACGGAGTGAAGTCTTGGATCTCGTTACCAAATCACCAGTGTTAATTCTGTTTTCCCCAACCTTAAGCTTTTTTTTTTAGTTGCATTATTGCACACAATTTAAATTTATGTGTATATATATATCACTTTAATTTTTTTTTAAAGTAAACATCACGATTGCAGAACCTTGTCTTGTGGGTCTTTTGTGAGGGTCTCTGGCACTTGATCCTGCTCCTTGAGCAGCAGCTGCTGTTTCTCCTGCGACTTGAGCTTGCTGAGCTCGGCCCGGGACAGAGCCCTTAAGGTGCCCATGGCTGCCTTCCCGTCCTTGATGGCTTTGGGTTTGGAGATGAAGGTGGCAACGCCTGCCAGATGCTGGGCGACCTGCTCCAGCACGCCTTCCTGTTTCCAGAGTGCAGCAGGAGAGAAGGAAGAATCACACATTTAACTTCGCCCATTGACCACTCAAGGCAGATGTTCAAACTGGGTGAAAGCAACCATCATGTGAATATCCTTCCTACAAGGAGTGGCAAATACAATAGACTTGTTATATTTTAATGCTGCTCCCTATTAGTGATCCTTTTCAGATTGCTAGACCCTTATGTCTCCACTTCTCCCCTTCTTGTCTGCTAGACTCTACCCTGGCCAGTGGTCTCTACTCACTCGCAGCAGACTGAGCTTGACTGATCTTGTGTAACTAAAACCAGTTGGGAGAAATGTCAGTTTAGTTAATATTCTAAGTATATCATCTTTTGAAGGAAGAGAAGGTGGACGTTGGTGTCTAATGTGGGTTAACCGGCTTAGTTAATGGGTAGCAGATGGAGGCCTGGCCTGACCCCCCCTTCAGGGAGGACTGAAGCAAGGTGGAGAGGGGGGGGGGTGCTTGAGACAAACGGGAAGGAAGGTGTTTCAGTTCATTTACAGCAAGTTTCATATTGTACAGCTGCGTGAAACTGACTTCTTGTTATCCCTCCCCAGCCTCATTTAATAACTTCCATCTCGCTTGAGATGTGGCTTCACAGGCAGAGGGCGTTGTTAAACGGGGACCGCTCACCCCAGCAGCACGTAGCGCGCTCGACACTCACCAGCTCGGCGATCTCTGCTGCTGGCGAACCTTTTCTGACCGTCACCTTCACATGGAGCTTCTTCTCCACCCAGCTCTGGATCTGCTTCACCTTGGTGTCCAGGTCGCGCCGGGCGATGTCTGAGGACAGAGTCAGCTCCTTCACCTGCGTGGGGGCTGCAGGATGGGACACTGAACGCTTAAAACTTGCTTAATCCTCAATTCCCAACAACCGATCCAGCCCCCTTCTTGCATAAGCTTGCCAATACTAAGGAGCAGGTCAGTGCACAAGGCCAACTCACTGTTGAAGAGTAAAACCACTGTGCAGGTGCACTGATCCAGGGGCCGTGCTCTGCAGAACCTGAAGCTACGCAAGACCTCCGCACACACCTACCGGGCTGGGCTTTCTGCCTCTCGCGGAGCTTGAGCTGCTCCTCGTGGATCTGTTTCCCAGTCATAAGCCTGTAAACAGGAGGCTCCTCATTCTCCCGCAGGGGCACCAGTTTCAGTTCGCGCTGGTCCATAATGCGAATGACGTCGGCGCGGTGCAGGGGGCCCAGGTCCTCCCCGAGCTCGCTGATCACCCGCACCACGCGGTGGTGGATCTTCCTGCCCACGCTGCCCACCGTTTTCCGCGCGCGGGGGTCCTGCTTCTTCTTCGCCGTCCTGCCCTCCTCCTCCTCCTCCTCACTGCTGGCTGTGGTCAGCGGCCGGGCCGCCCGGCTCCACGCGGGGCCAGGAAGGACGCCCCTGGGCTGGGCGGCCAGCCTCCAGAGAGAGCCCACAGGGGACTGCTGCCACGCGGGGCTGGAGAATCCCAGGCAACAGGAGCCCTGCCTCCCAGCCTGAAGCACCACTCTCCTCAAACACGCCGCCGCCATTCTGACAAGAAGAACCAGAAAGGTTACAAAACGACCTTGCTTATCTGAGTGTTTAACAGCCCCTTGATCCCCAAACCTCTAAGGTCACAGGTGCTGACCTTACAACAGTTTCAGCGAGCCTGCTCCCACAGTAATTGCAGCACACCCGCAACTAACAATCCGAAATCCTTACAGTAGCTAAGGGTCCTGCATCTCAAGTCAGGGGCAAGGAATGGCTGGAGAGGGGTGCTGCCAGGAAACACGAACTTAATCCCACGCTCAAAAGCAGAAAGAATGAAAACACAAAACGCCTCGCTAATGGACCTTCTTCGGTTGTGTATGTTAGGCAATACGAAAGCCACAGCACGGCATATATGTTTAATTTGCAATGGTTTAATCTTAGATAAATACTTGCAAATGGCCTTAAAGTTGCAGAGGTGCCAAAGGACTGAGTCTGTATCTCTGAGGCACTGACATTGATTACTGTAAAACAAACGTCAACGGGGATGAAATGGTACTGTACGTCCTTAGCCCGATGCAAAAAAGTGATTTACCTTAAATGCACCCGCTTCGATCCAAAGGGAGGAATACAGGGGAGTAGTGTGCTGAAAAGAGACGCTTTTAATTAGCGATGATACCTGGGACAGGGGGAATCAAACAAATAACAAGCGTCGTCTGCTCAAGCTGAGCCCCCAGACCTTTGCAGAGAATGTTTGGAAGCGGAGAAGGTCCTACCTTTGTGCAGCGCCGATGTGTCGCACAATGATGACGTAGGCGTCGCGTCTGGGTGTAGTCCTGTAGCTCTCCTTAGGCATGTTTAACTACAGACCGTCGCCTCAGCACAAAACCGTTTAACGCGAGAGATTTATGCTGAAGTACATATGTATTGTGTTTATTTGTTTGCAGTTTTCTTATACTATATTACCATGTAATGGAAGGATAATTGTAAGCTCACAACATTGCTCCACATTTTCCATTTTTCTACTATTTGCGATTTATAGTGTAAATACATTTTATGAGCACCCCGGTTATTATCCACGCTGCATAATTTTATGATAACTGTTGTATCTCTTTGTTAAATTACAATATTATTACTAAACTATTACCAACCATTATCTTAATCCTTACTCCAAACTCTAAAACTTTAAAAAGAGAAAATGTCTGAAATCCCGGCTGGTTCAGATAGCAAAGGCTCAGATTTCATCTGAAGAATCTTAAAAATATAACTTTTTTTTCTTAACAACACGCGTAGAGGTTAAGATTCTGCGTAGGAAGGGGAGGAACCATGAAATGTAGCAGTTAAAGCACAGGGATATGTTCATCTAATGGTATTCAAATAAAGATCAAACATAAAAATGCAGAAATACCCAAAATCAGAAAACAGGACATTAAATAAGCCAGTACTGGAAAATGAAATAGCAACTTGCGTGCTCTAAACTATTAAATTACATTTTCCGACAACAGCAAACTCTTGCGAACATTTGCGAAAGTTATTTGCCTGTGGTCAAGCGAAGCTAGGAACATCAGTGCTCATCTGAAAATAATGAAGGCTGACACACTTTGGAGCAGCACAATACTTCTGATAGGCTGCTTTTATTTCGGGCAATACGGAAGAGTTAATAAATATTCCTTAAGGAACCCTGTGGCTCTTTATGTGGCTGTGAAGAATAGACTGCTATTATTTCCCTTAAAGGACAGATATATTAAAGAAAAAAAAACGTGTTTTTCATCCCCACTGTTAATTATCTGCTTTGCTGCGTGTATAAATAATTCAGATTCTGTACTACGATGAGTGAACCGTTTTTAGAACTGAAATAATCTTTTTTTCCTATTCAAAGGCCGTCTTTTATCTTTAGGATAATTTGCAGGGTCTTACAAAAACGAAAAAGGCAATTATTGACACACAAAGGGCTGTTTTCTAAAGTATTCAAGGACCACTCAGGGGAGGGGAGATTAAACGAAGAGGCGGGGATATTTTGGGGGGCATTAGCGAATTAAAATCAAATTAATGTTGATTAAAGAGTACATAGATGTTTTATATGGCTGTTATTGTATGGGTTTTTTTTCTTTTCATATTTGTTGATTGTTTTGCTCCCCACAAAGACATGAAAACGCGTCTTTTTTTTTTTAAGACAGGACTAAGGGCGCAGCACGGCCCCAGCCGGGCAGAGTGAAAGATCCCTTTAGAAACAGTAAATCTAGAGATTTTACAGTCAGATGAACAGCAATAGATTAATTTGTTTAACGTCCCTCCGCACAAAAGGAATCTAATCTTCACTTTCGTGAATGGCGGTCACCCCCGGTGTGGGATCGCGGCAGCGCAGCCTATCGCAGCGCGCCACGCCGTCACCTGCCCAGCACAGGTGCTGACCTCCTGCGTGCCCGAGGTCTGATGGGATTGTGCAGCACCCGCCAGCCATTATGTGCCACCGAGAAGCCCTTTCTCGTCAGCGACCCCTTTCAATATTGCAACTACAGGAAGTTCAAACACGGCAAGAAGAGGGGTCACTGCGCGGGGTCACGGTGGGTCAGAGTTTAGCTTAAATCATCAGCTATGAGAAGGGGTGGAAAAATAGAGGGAAGAAACGAAGGAAAATGAAAAGACTGGCAATAAGGGACTTTATTTCTAAGAAACTGAATAGCGCAGGCTGGCAGTTAAACTCCGTCCCTTCACTGTGCCTTTGCGAAGTTAAAGAGCGCACAGCAACTGAAAGGGTGCAGAAGAATGAGTGGCGTGCCTCCCATACTGCTTGTGAATGGGAGCTGTGTCAGAACACAGGCTGTGACTAGGAGTCGGGCTGAGAGCAGCCGCCTCGGCTGTAAACATGCTGTGTGTGTGCTCAAAAGAACGAGCCCCGAAAGTGTTTGTGTGGTTCGTCTTCTTGTGGTGTGAGAGATGAGCCCTGATGTGTCCTGACAATCTTAAGGATGTTCCACAATTCGGGGAACAGGCTGTGGAGGGTTCTACTGTTCACAAAAGAGTAGTAGTGGGCGCTGGGCTTTCAGCCAGTGGACGTCCTGTAGTCACCCGCTCAGATAGACAGTAGGGTGACTTAAGTCGGCCTCTGAGCTCATCTGTCTGGTAAATAAATTTTCGATATCATCTCTTCCTCCTATGTGCAGTACAGCAATAGCACAAGCCCTGCAGATCGCTTCACTGTCTGCCAGCAATGCGCTGTTGCTGAGGAGTGCAGGACCTGCTCTTCTGACACAACACAGCAACACTAGAGGACGTTGTCGCTTGGCAGAAGAGCTCCGCACGGTCCATGGTGTCCTGCCGCTAGCAAAACAACGAAAATCAAGCAGTGATTTCCGAGGTGCAGTCAAAATAATTCCGTCATGAATTATTTTGGCTCGATGAAAAGAACTAGTCTCTCTGAGGACATTAAAAATAAAGTAAAAAAAAAACAGCTGGATTTTCATGTGTCGCATCACCCTACTCACTGAGGTACACCTGCAGATAACGCATATAATTTCTTATTGATTGCACTTTCTATTTAAATACCTATGGCTCCCACACTGCTCATATCAAACTGTTTACTCACATTAAGTGTATTACTTATGTTTCTATTCAACACAAGCAATTTCAAATGCTTTTAATAATGTCTAATTATTCATCTCTATTATAATCCTCTAAAAAAAGTAAGAGCCAATAGAACAATTTTTACATTTTTCTTGTAAAAAAACACAGTGCAGCAGTATGTACTTTTGGGTTGAAATATCTGGTTGCACTCAAAGGGTTGGGATGTTTCTGCTGATGCAGGCCAAATCAGATTTGATAGGGAGAAAGCCTGGCTTTTCTTTTCTGAGAGCCAGCTTCCTCTGATGATGTTTTTCAGGGATGTCTGGGGGTCCGGAGCCCCTCAGAATTCCCTTTTGTTTTTGCAAATCACCCATTTCTGTTCAGTGAGCGAGTGGTCTCCAGTGGCAGCCGCAGCCTGTAGCAGAGCAGTTAGTAACTCCCATTAGAGGAGAAGAGAAAGGAAAGAAAATGTCCTTCGTTTGTTACCAGCAGGTGGGTCCGTGTGCATGCTTGACTGAGCTGGAAGACAGACAGGTTCTCAGAATGAGCATTCACACTGGAGGCCAGAGCTGCCTCGCTCCCAATTAGTGCTGCGCATGGAGGCTTGTGTCCTGCACAACCACACTGCCCCCAACAAAAACCCCAGCTTAACCCATGAGAGGGCTTCCCTCTGGGCTCGAAAAGAAATGATTTTGTTTTCTTGTGATGTGAGGAACAAACTGGCCTGATGTGGCCTGCTGTTCTCTGGGTGTTCCACACCACTGGAAATAGGCTGCACTGTTGCAGGACAGTTTGGTTCACGGAACTGGCATTAACTCGAAACATTAGCCTTGTCCCGGGGAAAGGCAGGGTGCTGTGCCCTAGGGGGGCTGGTTTCTAAATGAGATGCATGTATTGCACTTTGCAAGGGTGACACCCGGCCTCTCGCAGTGCAGAACAGCTGAGTGGAAAGAAACGCTGCCATGACTGTGTGCTGCTTGGCTGAGCTGAAGTCCCCTGGCATTTATTAAGTACACTTTTAACAAGGCAAGTCCCTCTACCAGGGACTAAGGCAGATTCATATCTTAGTAAATTATGGTGTAAACCTGTCACCAGATTTACAAAGAGTCTATTTTAAAAGAGGTCAAAGAGAGACATCATTGAACATTAGATACCATTTTAATGCAGCACCTGTAACAGATGGGCAACACATTCCGTGGCTCAGGATCTGCGCCTGTGGCTGGAAGGTCGCCGGTGCGTATCCCGCAGCCAGCAGAGGAATCCTACTCCGTTGGGCCCCTGAGCAAGGCCCTTCACCCCAACTGCCCCAGGGGCGCTGCATAAATGGCTGACCCTGCGCTCTGACCCCCAGCTCCTCTCCCTGTCTGTGTGTCTCATGGAGAGTAAGCTGGGGTTTGCGAGAAGACAAATCCCAAATGCAAGAAATTGCATAGGGCTAATAAAGTGATGTTATCTTATCTAATGATCTAGGAAGTATGTTTTTCTCCTTATTCATGGTAATGCTGAGATTCCTTTAGCTTATTCCTTTAGCTATCGGTCATGCAAGAATAACTCAGAAATTAATCCAGAAAAAAAGACTCTAGAACTCCTTCAGGGGGCACTTCACTGAGCGAAAGACGAGAAAATAAGGACTCCATATTTTGCCACAGTACAGGATGTAACCCCCTCAGTTGTATGTGTCCACTGCCCAGCCGGACAGGCTGACAAACGGCTATTCCAGCCCTCCTGCGTGAGGGACTCAGAACCCACCCTCTCACCCCTCCCCAGCTCCTTGCAGAGAGGTCTGTTCAGCGCTCTCCGGCGTAGCTGTGCGACATGAATTTGGGCCTTCTCGAGGAGACCCCCAAAAGTGGCATGTCAGTGCTGCCCCAGGACAAGTCTTGGGTTACACAGCGCTGGACAGAAGACTTGCCTTGAAAAACAAAAAGGGGGCAACTCAGCCCCTCTGAGTAAGAAGAAAAGGGCCCGATGGCCGGCTGTAGCAGGTGGAGGAGAATCCAAACTGAGAGGGAAACAGACACATATATACAGAGAATAAACAGCATAAATAGTTCATTTGATGTCAGACCTTCTAACCCTCCCTCTGAGAAGTCTATTATGGGCCTTCGAAAATGTTAATCAATCGCTATTCAGCTGCAGGTGCACTGGGTGAGGGCTCTGATGCAGCTAGGCCCTCTAATTGGCTGAAAGGGGTTTGCTGCACCCAGCTGCTCTGTGGCCTGCGCCGGGAGTGGGGAGCACTGACTCCGGCCTTTATGTGCTGAACAATGAGGCACGGCTCCTGGGCTGCTCAGGCTTGCCCCGACTCTCCCCCTTCCTCGTGCCAATGGCTTCTGCTTCGGGGGCGATGGGACTGCTCTGTATTTCTCTGTCCCTCGCCTGTTTGCC